TCTCTCTCTCTCTCTCTCTCTATCTTCTCTCTCTCTCTCTCTCTCTCTCTCTCTCTCTCTCCTCCTCTCCTCTCCCTCCTCTCTCCTCCTCTCCTCCCTTCCTCCTCCTCTCCTCTCTCTCTCTCTCTCTCTCTCTCTCTCTCTCTCTCTCTCTCTCTCTCTCTCTCTCTCTACTCTTTCTCTCTTCTTTCTTTCTCTTTCTCTCTCTTTCTCTCTCTCTTTCTCTTCTCTTTCTCTCTCTCTCTTTCTCTCTCTCTCTTCTTTCTCTCTCTCTCTTTCTCTCTCTCTCTCTCTCTCTCTCTTCTCTCTCTCTCTCTCTCTCTCTCTCTCTCTCTCTCTCTCTCTCTCTCTCTCTCTTTCTCTCTCTCTTTTCTCTCTCTTTCTCTCTTCTTTCTCTCTCTTTCTCTCTTTTCTTTCTCTCTTTCTTCTCTCTCTCTTTCTCTCTCTTTCTCTCTCTCTTTCTCTCTCTCTTTCTCTCTCTCTTTCTCTCTCTCTTTCTCTTTCTCTCTTTCTCTCTCTCTTTCTTCTCTCTCTCTCTCTCTCTTTCTCTCTCTCTCTCTCTCTCTCTCTCTCTCTCTCTCTCTCTCTCTCTCTCTCTCTCTCTCTCTCTCTCTCTCTTCTCTCTCTCTCTCTCTCTCTCTCTCTCTCTCTCTCTCTCTCTCTCTCTCACGTGTGTGCGTGTGTGTGTACACATGTGTGGCTGCGTGTACATGCCTTCATGTATGTGTTTGTGTGTGTGTTTACTTCTTTCCCTCCTCTTATCTCTCTTCCTTTTTTTCTGTTTTGTTTTGTTTTGTTTATTTACTTACTTGATTAAATGTGAAGGTACATTATCTGTTGCTTTTTTAAGAATTAGGCACAAACATTTGAGATTATCCATTAGTGTTTTGTGGTTTTGTAGACAACTTTCCTATAAAATTATTTTATGTTCACTCTGAATTCCATTTAGGCCTTTTTGTGGGTCATTAAGAGTCTGTCAGATTTCAAGGTCAGCATTCATGAAATTTTTGCAAAATTTAGTTTGGCTTGCAATTCCAGCAGGCTCATGAGTTACTGTTCATGCAAGATGTTTTCCAACTTTTTGAGGTCTGACTCAATGACCATTTTCCTGGACACTGGATACTTGTTATATGAGCCTACTTAATCATGGAATTGGACATATTACTATTTCTTCTGGAGGATATGAAATGTTTTCATATTTTCAGGGGCTTTTTATATGTTCTTATTTCATCCTTTTATTAAATTCATACTTTTGTATTTTGCAGGTTTGATGTTATCCAATGGGAAACTTTCAACACAACCCATACTTTCCTCCCTAATGACTTTTATAACACAAAACGTTTGGTTGGTATGGATCTTCATGATATTATGGTAAGACATAGCTCTCTGTATATGTAGAAATCTATGTCAGTTGTTGAAAGATATACTGATGTAGTTACTATAAGTATAATGTGGATGAACAATATGTTTGTCTTGTACTCCCCTGAGGAGAGTTGAAGTATGTAGATGTCATAGTTACCACCATTACTGCATACCATGTGAATGTGATGATGGAGTTTAGACTTAAGATTAAGATTAATATATTATTTATTAACCAAAAAATTGTATACACTTCAGGTAAAGTTTTCAAATCTATTACTTGTATTTAAATTTTGTATAAATTCTTACATACCAATACACAAGTCATCATGGATAACTAAGTCCAGTCAACGCAGAAGCCATGGTTCTAGTGTTGCATTCATATCATTTATGGTAATATTGGTAACCCAGGTAGATACTTGCAAGCAGCATTAAACTTGACTGTAGATTATACAAACATTTTATCATAGGTTTCTGTGTGGCTGAGCCCCATTGTTATTAGGTAAGACATACTTATGTGCCATGTCATAATGAACTAAAGAGTAATTGGATTATTAATGTAAGAAAATTGTAATGAATTCTTTACTTATTTCTACTGACTTCTTTTCCAGAGTGTTGTAAATGCCAGTATTGCTCACATGCATCTCAAGACCAAAGGAAGCCTAGAATATCGTGGTATTGAGTATGGCCACCGACGGTTAGACCCAACACGAGGGGTGGATTACATTCTCTCTCTTATCTTTCGTGACAACACGTCAGGTCAAACAGTGTCAAGAAAGTGAGTTAAGTAAAGACATAGGGGATCAGAAAAAAGTTGTTGTGCTTTTGTAATCAGAATTATGATTTTCATTGTTTGAGGTATTCTGTGTGAAGATGCCTATATATATGCATTTGTTAAATATTCCAGAATATTAGTTAATTATTATCAATATTAGAAACAGTTATTTTTTCTGGGATTGGATAAGAAATAACATAAAACTCACAGCTTTGGTTTGTCTTGCAAAAATTTCAAAATGAATTTTTACCACCTCTTTTTTATACTCTTTCAATAGCATTTTGCACAGAAGAACAAAATTAATTATTTTAGAAAGTATTTCGGGCATATTGGATGGGCAACTAGGTCAGTGGTTCTCAACCTATGGACTCAGGGCTGCCTATATTTAGTAGTAATGGGATGTTTAGCAGACTTGGTATCAAGAATTTGTAAAATTTGTATAGGATTCAAGAGATATTTGGTGATCTCTAATTCATTAAATAAATCTTTAACATTTGATAAAATGAGTTTGGGTAATTGTTGCAAACCCAACATCAACATCTTGTTATAAGTGCATTTTATTAGAAATGTTAATTATCATTTGTATATTGTATTCTTGCAGATATGTAAGATGTTACAAATTCATACTTTGGTATATTTACTGCCATTTGTCTTTTGTCCCTCAACTATCCTGTTTTCCAACTGATTAAACATGAATGCTTCAGAGTTGAGGCATCACGTCCCCTCACTGAACCAGAGATCATACCAATGCCATATGTCACAGAGAACAATCGTATAACTTTGGTGATGCCTGTGGTTCAGGATGAATTGGTAGAAGCTGTGGACTTTGTTAAGAGGTATAAACATCCAGGTTAGACATTGAATGCTTTTGAAATATTATATAGTTTGACAATGATATCATTGCCATAAAGGTTTAGTGTATAAAGCTCTGTGCCAATACAGTAGAGATCAAGCATTATATATGATGCATATGCAACATTTTAACCATTTTGAATTATTCTCTGGCTAGATATGAAGCAGAATGTATGGTAACTGGAGAGCACACATTCCTTCTACTTGCTCTGCTATATCTACCTGGGACATCTTCATCAGGGGATGCTGCTGATGTGTTCAAGGTAAAATGGACCTTTTTTTTTTTATAGAATTAGGTGTAGTTTAGGCGAATCCTTTAGATGAATTTTAAAGTGATGTCTTAATTCTTTCTTTTGTAGCAGTGCAGAAAAGTTATATTGATTTTATTTTAGAAAAAAATAAAGCCTGTATAGAATTGAGATTTGCACATTCTTGATCATTACTGTAGACCATTATTAATGTCTGCATGTATTGCTTTTTATAGTGAGATAGATACAAAAGCAATTACTTAGTCCATGTTGTTTGCCACCCAAGGAAGGTATTAAGCTCAAATCAAATATCAGGTGCAACTATAAGCAAAAAATCAAATGGCTATTATTCTTAATGCAAAGATGCACTTGACATGTTGGTGATAATTGACTGAATTAGATTTTAATAACACCCATGCATTTCGGTTATCACCACCAACTTATTAGTTATCAAGTAATTGTCATTGCCAAGCTGTCATCCTTCATCACTAAACCTGTTAGCACATCACCTTTTTGAAAGCATAAAACAATTTCTGTTCCTGATATTGTTAGAAACAACATAATACATTGATGAATACAGGCATTTATCTATGTAGTATGTTTCTGTAATGATATATGAAAATTAGTTTTTATTCTAATTGTGGATATAATTGAACTTTCCAATATCTTATGAAAGGTAATTTGTTATTATTATTTAAACAGTTCTAGTAATAAAATCGAAATTATTTTCTTTGAACTTAGTGTTACTAAAAATAAGAACATGACTCAGTGTACACTCACCCATGGCCCCTGAATTACCTCCAGCCTCCCATTTTAGTTTCAGTTGCACTTTCCTAGGCTCTGTGCATGTAGTAAGAGCTCAACAGTTTTTTTATGATGTTCTGTCTGCAGGAAGATATTTAACATGATGATTATAGGCTATAGATACTCATCATTGGTTGCAAAAAGATTGGCAGGTTGGCTAATGCTCCTCTTCTATGATTATTTGCCATAATGTGAAGTCACATCACCTATCTTCAATTTATTATTGTTGTTTTTTTATTAGTCTTTTTTCTGTTTTTTTTTTTTTTTCTTTTTTTTTTTTGGTATAATTACTTATAATCACTTTATGAAGATGATTTGATTTTAAGCATGCTATGCTTGGTTGTTGCTCATAATCTCTCCCTTACATCTTTTGACTCTGCAATACCTGCTTGCAAGAAAGATTATATTAGGGAACATCTTTGTTTGTAGTGAATATGAACCACAAAAATGTAATGAAAACAAGTAAGTAAATAATGATACACAATATCCCTTAAATTTAAAAATACATTACAACAGGATTAAATTATGACAACTTGTAGTATTTTTCTGCTTATTCAGTATACTAACAATTAACAATTTATATATAAATAAACCTAAATGGTAGATGTTTATTCCATGTTTAAATTTATCTGAAGATTTGCAATAAGCTAATTTGCTGTCATTTTACACAGCTCTAGGCAGGCATCAGGAATCCATTTAGTGCTTGATATAGACATCTGATTCTTAACCCATTGCCGCCAGGTGGCATTATGTACATGCCATGGCTGTTGTAGACCGAAAGACGGGTGGCATCATGTCATGCCCATTCCCACGCCACTGGCTCGTCGGACAGAGTTTGTTTTTCTCCGATGGTAGTGGCTTCATTTATATGGTAAAGATTTTAGGCAATGGCACCTATAATGAAGGTAAACCCTCAAAATTTTAATATTTTCATAAATTATAGGAAAATAAAAGCTTTTAGGTGCTAAATGTCACTCGCAAACTACCGATCGAGCCGGGTGCAAACGGGAAACTGCCGATGCGTGCCAACAAGCCTGTCCATATGTCCACTTGCCAAACTTTTTACCCATCGGCACTGGGTTTAATATATGCTTGAAAATCCTTTGAATCCTATTTTCTTGGTTTTCAACTTATTATCCCATTTGAATATTTACAATGAATTTTAATCTGATTTATGCAGAGGTTTATTCCTTTTCCATATCTTCCAGCCCCTGAAAGACCTGGCTCTGAAATACACTCGTGAACATCATGATGCTGGCTCTAAAGTGGGATGGGTGTCATTACACACAGTTGGCCAGCGCCCATCGGACTTCGCAATTGTTGATTTGGTTGTAAAAAAATTCCAGGATGATACATTGATATTACTCACA